AAGACGGAGAGGGCGAGTATCGAGTGTTTGGGAAATACACGTTGGATGACACTCAAGCAGAAAAGAGCGAGCAGTCTTAAACTGATTGGTGTTGCTGTTGCTGTTGTTGCTGTTGTTGTAAACCGGGTGGCAGGGGCGCAGTTAGGTGACCTTTGCTTCCTCTTGTAAACACAGGGTGCGAGCCCCAGGGTAACTACTTTAATTGAAACAATGCTATGGTGACCGGGGAGGGGGATTTCCAACATTGTTTTGAAGAAGCGAGATAACACAGCAACACTAACAACAACACCAACCACATCAACCACACCAATTCACCACACCAACAACACCAACAACAGCAAAACAATGACAACATCAGCAACCGTAACAATGACAACACCAACAACACCAGCAACAACCACACAACCACCACCAACAACCAACACAACAACAACAGGTAGCCGCCATACCAACAACAACGATATCGAGAACTCGCACCGCCGACTCCCACTTCACATTTCAGCCACGCACGCAGGGATTATGTAAAACGTAAGACCGTTTGGTCCCTTCACTCTGGTAATAATGTCCCCAGTTGTTCTAGTGGCAGAGCTTATTCTACCCATTTTGACGCCTGCGTTCGCGAGGCACCAGCATTATCACCTGCCGCCCGCACGACCTTGCGCTCGTGGTTCTTATCACTGGGGTCCACGAGTCGCCATCATCAGTAGGAAGCAAGGACGCACGTGTCTTCCAGCGCCTCTTCTGCGAAATCATGGGCTGGACTTTTGTATTCCTGGTGCTACAGGGTCCAACCAATCGCCCTTGCAAAGGTGCTGTCGTATCACAGCTGTGTGGGCAGCCCTGTTGACTGTCGCACCTGCGCGCTTTGCCTCGTGGCCGTCTCGGACTCTCTCGTCCTCGTGCTCCTCCCTAAGTGGAAACCCATGCCAAGAAACACCCTGCTTGCCTCCAGGGTGCGCTGGGTTTCCTGGGTTTCGGGTTTTGATATGCTAGGTGTGACGCTCGCACACCAAAAGCCAATGGACGTCCTGGGGTCTTGGGGTTGGCTTTCCTGTGGAAGGCTTCTTGTGGTCGTGCTTCTCCTACAGCTGGCGCGAGGGTCAAAGGACAAGCCCATCCTGGAGGGCTACCCGCATGTCTGTCGTGCTCGGGGCCTTCCGCCCTGGGATGTCCATCGTTTTGCTTTAGCCTGGATCACCAGAGAGAATTTCGAGCACCAGAGAAGTACCGAAACTCGAGGGTTTTCACGTGTCGGGCCTTGTGACACAGTCGTCCGACACTGTTTCGACACTTTTTCGACACTCGACACTTTTCAGGGTGCTCGAAATTATTTCTGCGACGTGGTCCCTAAGTACGACGGGAGCAGCATCACCCTGGACATAGGTGCGCTTGGCGGGAGGGGCTCACGTTATCAGCCCACGCACGCTCTTGCTGTGGCCAACCCCTTCGACTTGACTCCTCCCGCCCTACCCCTGCGATTCCCTTCTCCTCTGTCTCTCCGTCGCCGTCGTCGTCGCCGCCGTCGCCGTCGCCGTCGCCGTCGCCGTCGCCGCTGCCGCCGCCGCCGCCGTATGTATCGTTCCTCCTCGTCCTTTCTCCCTCCCCTCCGCCCTCCCCTTCCACGCGACGACCCGCCCTTTTGCAAAAGGCCGCCCAGATGTGTGGAGCGGCCCGGGGCAAGCCAGGCCAGCCGGGGTTGTGGCCACCCGCCCCCCCAAACCGCCCCCACCCAGGAGGAGGGGGATGAGGAGGAGGAGGAGGAGGAGGGGGGGTGGAGGAGGAGGAGGGGGAGGAGGAGGAGGAGAGGAGAGGGAGAGGAGGAGGAGGAGGAGGAGGAGGAGGAGGGGAGGAGGAGGAGGAGAGGAGGAGGAGGGGGGAGGAGGGACGAGGAGGAGGTAGGAGGAGGATGGAGGAGGGGAGGGGAGGGAGGAGGGAGGAGGAGGAGGAGGAGGAGGAGGAGGAGCAGGAAGGGGGGGCGGTGGCGGGCCGCGCGGCAAACGCGGCGCCCCTCTGAGGCCCCATCGCGCGGTGCGTCGCCGCGCCCTGGGCGCCCCCGAGGCATCCTCGGAGAACCCGGACCCCCTTGCGCTGTGCAGAGATCGCGACGGCAAGCGTTTGGCTGCTCTCCGCCTCCAGGGGCCCTCGCTGGGCCTCGGGGCCGTCGGAAAACGACTCGGGAGGAAGAGCCGGTCCCGGAGAATGCGCTGTGAAGAAATCGCGACGGCAAGCGTTTGGCCGTTCTCCGCCTCCGGGGGCCCTCGCTGGGCCTCGGGGCCGTCGGAAAACGACTCAGGAGGGAGAGCCGGTCCCGGAGAGTGGGTCCAGACCTCTGGGGGTCGCAGAGCAGAGCGGAGGTCGGGTCAAACCTGCAGGTTGGCCCGCCTTCCTTCCTCCCTTTCTTTCTCCCCCCCTCCCTCCCTCCCTTCCTGTCCTCCTCCTCCGCCTCCTCCCGCTCCTCCCTCCATCCTCCATCCTCCTCCATCCTCCTCCTCCTCCTCCTCCTCCTCCTCCTCCTCATCATCATCATCACCACCATCACCATCACCATTACCCTCACCATCACCATCACCATCACCATCACCATCACCATCACCATCACCATCA